TTTTTTTTTTTTGATACTGGGGATTGAACTCAGGGCCCTTGTGTTTGTGAGGCAGGTGGCGGAACCACTAAGCTAAATCCCCGGCCCTTACAAATGCTTTCTTATCCAGCAGCTCAGTTAATCCTCTTAATCTTCAGTATGTATTTGGAGTAGGGATTAGCACTGTCTCCAGTTCTAGCAATGAACAGATTATGGAGATTTGAGGCCACCTGGCCCAGATGTGCTGAGAGAAGCCTGACCACCTCCTGCTGTTCACCTCTTTCCCACCCAGGTCTTTGGCAGCTCCCGGTCAGTCACCTCCCGGTGTGACCTGAGGGCCAACCTCATCCAGAATGGCTGTGGCAGTGAGATCGAGAGCCCAACCAGCAGCACTCGGGTCCTGCGCAGTCTCCCTCTCAGCAGTGAGGGCTCTTCGGGCTCAGATGTCATTCAGATGGCACCGCAGGAGGTGGCTGTGAACCTCCGGCCTGGTGAGTCACCTCAGGATGGGACTGGCCCGTGGGAGGCAGGGCCTGTGCTGGGCTAGGCTGAGTCCAGAGCCTGGGGATAAAGTGGGGAAGGGAGGCTTTGAGTCCCAGATATAGAGTATAAGGCCTCCGGGTATGGATCATGCATGCAAGGCAAGTGAGCTACATCCACAGTCCTTTTTTTTTGGTTTATTGAGACAGAGTCTAGTTCAGGCTGACCTTGAAGTCACTGGGTAGCCCAGGCTGGCCTCAAACTCTCAATGATCCTCCTGACCCTCCAGCCTCAGCCTCCCGAGTGCTGGGATTATGGGAATGTGCCACCATGCTTGGCCCCATTCCTTTTTAAATTTATATTTAGGAACTGGCCGGTCAGTTGCCCGGTTGATCTTGGACTTGTAATTCTCCTACTGAGCCCCCACCCGCCGAAGCTAGGTTACAGCTGTGCACCACTGCAGCCGTGTGCACAGTTCGTTCACCGTATGGTCTCTCGTCGCCAGCTAAATCCCCAGGGCCCAAGCTTTTTTTTTTAACTCTTTATTTAGACACAGGGTCTCACTAAGTTTCTAAGTTGCCCAGGCTGGGCTCAAACTTTTGATCCTCTTGCTTTGGCCTCCCAGAGTGCTGGGATTACAAGTGTGCCTCACCACGCCTTACTTATTATTCTAGTTCTGTGGTTCTGGGCCATGTGCATTTCTGGAAAGAGCTCCCTGAGAGTAGACTCCGCCTAGGAGAGAGCTGGATGTCACACAATCAGTGCTGCTGCAGTTTAATGCAGGGGTGGCTGTGAGCAGAGAGGCTGTCTGGTCTCACTACCAACTAACTGGCTTTTAAAACAGTCCCACGGAAGAGTCGGGAGCAGTTTGAACAATGGTAAGTTGATGCACAGTTACATCTGTGGCGAAGCATTGTGATTCGTTTTCTGTTTTGGAAATAACACAGATAACATGATCCCGTGTTTATAGAAAATGTGGGTGCTGTCTGTGGCCATAGCACCCCGAAGGCACCCGATCTTGTCTGGTCTCAGGAACTAAGCAGGATTGGGCCTGGTTTGTACTTAGATGGGAGAAAATGTGGGTGCTCTGTGCAGGTCAAGCCTTGCAAGGTGTGGAGCCCAGTGCTGGGAGGTTGAGGTGATGGAGTGTGGGGCTGGCGGCCCTGTGAAGACCACCTGAGCTGTGAGGATGTTCAGTCTGCAGAAATGAAGCCCAGGCAGAGCCATTGAAAAGAAGCTCCAGAACCAAGCCCGGCATGGTGGCACACACCTGAAATCCCTCAGGAGGCTGAGATAGGAAGATTGCTGTGAGTTCAAGGCCAGCCTGGGCTACAGAGAGACCCTGTCTCAAAGTGGGAGGGTGGGCGCCAGAACAATTGTGAATGTTTCTAAATACAGGAGTGTGTGTGTGTGTGTGTGTGTGTGTATTGAACCCAGGGCCTGGCTCATAATACTGTTCTAGGCAAGTGTTCTACCACTGAGCTACATCCCCAGCTTCTAACTACAGAAATGCTCAAAACCAATAATGGCTGATAACATTTTGAAATTATAAGTTTAATATTTATAGAGAGGAATTCTGGGAAACCCCACTTATTTGGGCACAGGAAGGAATGCTGTACTGTACTTAGCAAAGTTTTTGGCGCACATATACTTGAGGGGAATTCCCCCGTTTCTGAGGATGACTTTCAGGTACGCAGGGACTGGTTTTTCCATTATGTACTTTCAGAAACGCTCCCTCACCCTGCCCCCGTACTTCATAATAGGTATTTGTTGAGTGAAATATAACACTTTGCCAGCCTTATACAAAGTAACCAGGGACAAGCCTCAGCATAACATGAAAGACACTTCAAGAGGGCCTGGCTGTTGTTCCAGGATAAGTCAGAGAGGGGAGGAGGAGGAAGAAGGGAGTGACGGGGATATAAAAGAGGGAGGGAGTAGGAGGTGGGGTCAGGGAGGCATCCTTCTTTGAACAGAATTTTTTAAAACTGAGAAATAATTCACATCCCATAAAATACACCATTTTAAAGTGATTACTATATTAGGAAAATTATATAAATATCACCACTATCTAATTCCACAACATTTTTGTTTTGTTTTGTTTTTGGTACCAGGGATCAAACTCGGGCTTGCAAGGCAGGCAGCGGAATCACTGAGCTAAATCCCCAGCCTCCACCACATTTTTGTCACCCCATGAAGAAACCCAGTACCCAGTAACAGTTGTTCCTTACCTTACCAGCCCCTGTTTTTCTCAGCCCCTGGCAGCCACTAATCCACTTGCTGTCTTTGTGATTTTTGTCCATGGAAACATTTCCTCTACATCCTGTCACATGTGAGTGTGTGGCCGGGTACTCATCCATGTTGTAGGATGTGTCTCGTCCTTTTTATGGCCAAGTAATACTCCATTTTGCACATTTAGTTATACCACGTTTCAGTTGATGGGCATTTAAAGCTGTTTCCACTTTGGGACAATAATGAAATTTCATGTACAAGTTTTTATGAGGATATATGTTTTCAGTAATCTTGGATATATAGCTAGGAGTGGAATTGCTGGAAAATACACTAATTCTATATTTAACTTTTTAAAGAAGTGCCATATTTTATGCAGGATTTGGTATGAAAACGGGATCATATTTTCCATTTTATTTCAATACTGGAAACTATATGTCAGGATAAGAACTTTTAAAAAATAATCCCTAACAAACATAAAATCCTTAAGACATAAACTTTAACGTAAGCCTTACTGAGATGGTCAAAAGCTAGAGATGGCTTTGAGACACTGGGATAATTAGAAAGGGTTTCTTAAAATCATTGTTTGCTTCAATCTCTAGGCCCCTTAAAAGTGATCTTTGCTTGTTAGCTTTTTTTTTTTTCATTTTAAACTTTCTTTTGAAATAATTTTAGACTCACAGAGTTGTAGAAATGCTGCTGAGATTCTCCACGTGTCTCAGCTGTTCCCAGGGATAACGGCAGAGGTGACTAGAGAATGTTCTTGAGACCAGGACACCGACACTGGCACAGCAGTGCTGGTGAAGACCCTGTCCCTGTGCGTTTCTCCCAGCCCCTTTTTAAGGGCTGTTCTCCCCACTCCTGGGAGGGGCTGGGACTCACCAGACTGACAGTGCACCTGCTGATGAATGCGTGAGGGATTATGTAAAAGGAAACTGCAGACATGGTGCCTAGGCAGCAGACACCGTGAGGCCACTGTGTCTTCAGATGGGTGCTTTGTGACACCCAGACTCTGTCTAGAGTCACTGCAGTATTCTGAGGTGGGGGTGGGGTGCAGCAGCCTGTTCCAGATCAGGGAAGAAATTCTGTGGTCCTAGGTCTGGATTTCATTTCGGGAAATTAAATTAAATTTCATGAAATACCTCCTACTGTAGTGAGCAGAGGAGCTGGAAGTTCATTTTAAAAGGTGGGCACCAGGGCCTTAATTCCCTCCTCAGCTATGTTGCGTAGTTGATTTTTATGTTTCCTTTGTTTCCGTTTCTTGCACTGAAGGGTAATTCTAGGGATTCAAAAGCCAGTCACAATTGTTTGGGGATGACAGGACTTTATCTGCTGAAAACTACTTTGTTTTAACTACTTCGTGGTTTAAAAAAAAATCAGTCTTCAACATTCCTGCTGGAATTCTGTACTCACTCTCTAGAAGTGTTTGTCATCTGATGCCTTTTACTTTTTACTGAAGGGAAGAAAGCATTACAAATACATTTCAGGTGCCCTGCTAGTCGATACTTGATCTCAGCACGAGGAACTGTGCTTACTAGCTGAGCAGTGGCAGAAATTCTGGGCAAACTGTAGTTGAGCCGGGTGCTTTGAAACAGAAATCATAAGGCATGAGAGGAACCTGGTGAGACACATCTTCCCAGGTGCAGGGGATCCACTGCTCTTTGGAGTTTGCTTTATCCTGCACCTCTGAACCCACCGTTGGCCCGAGGCAGGGATTACTGGAACAGCCCCAGATAGAAGAGGTGTGAGCCCCCGTAGAGGTCCTCAGTGGGGGGAAGCAGCAGGGAGTGACAGACAGATCCAGGCACGAGGCCTGGGATGGTGCTGTCAGACTGGCACAGTCCAGCCCTGCTGATGGAGGTGAGAGGGACTTTGCACCCCACTGGGCACACAGGAGGGCACAGGTTGCAAGTTTCAGGTGGTGTGGGAGGAGAGTGGCTGACTGGAAAGGGTGGAATGTAGCAGGGGTGTGGCTCTGGAGGTGGACCCAAGATGGGAAGAGGGCCCAATCTCCCCACCTGCTGGGCTACTGATGCTGGAGGCTCCCCTGCTGGAGGTCAGGGTGCTGGCAGCCTAGGCTGGTCCATCCCCTGAAACCTACTGTCCAGGCACACTACTTTGCCAACATCCTTTCAGGAGTTCATGCCATTTAAAACCAAGCTTTGTAAAGGTGGCAGTAAACCCTTCTGAACATGAATGATGCTACCTTCAATCTTACGTCCTTCCCTTTCTAGAGAACAGGAAGAAATACTCCTTTTCAATATGTGGAGCTTGTGTGTGTGTGTGTGTGTGTGTGTGTGTTTTCTTGACGATGATCATTCAGTTTCTCTTAGAATTTAATGCCAAGAGGTTTCTCACTTCTGGGCGGGGGATGTGGCCAGTGGTTATGTGTTTGCTTAGCAAGCATGTGGTCTTGGGTTCAGCCTCCAACACTGAAAAATAAAAATAGAAAGAAAACAATTTCTCATTTCCCAGTAGATAACCCTCCCAGCAGAAGGACATATATATTCATATCTTACTTCCCTCTTTGCCTTAAGTCTGGAACATCTAGAGTTAAATGTATATGCCCAGGACTATAGTTAATCAAACTCAAGTTTCTGGAAGAATTTTTTCTTTTTTTATCCCTACAGGAAATTGTTTGAATAATTGACTTTTGGCAGAATTGAATTATATATTGTATGTGATCTCATTTAGTCCCCACACTGATTAATATCCTCTCTATTTTACTGAAGCAGAAATTGAGCAGCAGTTTTCAAGGAACGTGAGGTCTTCTGACCCTTTGGGGGCCAGCCCTGGACTTGACCTCAGCTCTTCAAGCCTAGTGTTGCTTCTGTCCCAAAGAAAGGCCTCCTGGCCCTCTGAATCCAAGCCAGTTCCCTACTTCCAGGTCCCATACGTATTCATCAGCTACAGAAAGGCAGAAGTGGATCTAGATGAAAGAAGGTGCGGTAGAAGCTTTTTGGGGAGGCGGACAGGGATCGGAAAATGTAGGAGACGCTGCAAAGGTCATGGAATTGAGTGGAAGGTTGTGATTGCAGGTTTATTCCATCCTGGTCTGTGGTCCATGCAGAGCCCGAGGTTCTGCCTTCCCGGACTCCTCCCTCTTGCTCACCCACTGAGACCTGGCACCCAGAGGGCCCTGTCTGCCTGATCCGAGCCAGAGCCACACGGCAGCAGTCCAGAACTCACCCTGGAAGAAGTCTCGAACATTCTTGTGTTTGAGTCAGACTCTGATGGTTTTTAAAAATAGGCTCCTACCAACCAGCAACTCAAAACTTCATCAATCTTGAGGCAGCTAGAATAATACATGCAAAAACAAGTCAGGGAAGCAGGCATGGAGCTGTGACTGCAGGTAGTAATTAGAGTAATTGTACTTCATTTGTGCAAGCCTTTATCTGTATTTCTCGTCCACACAAGTGCAAGAAGCTTCAGTCAGTGCCACGGGCACCACTGCTATTTACATTTCACATTTAAAGAAACAGGCTCTGGTTGCATCCCTAAAGGAGGGATAGAGCTGGAACTTGAACTAAAGTCTTTCGACTGCTGGATTATTCTTCCTGGTCTAGCTCCCCTGTTGGCCGTGGGAGAAGAGCACAGAGGAGTTCTCTGTCCCTCGAGTGCCTGCTGAGTGCCAAAGCCTTCCCCTGCTGGCTGTCAGCTAGAGGCGAGTGATTGGCTTCTCTGAGAATTGGCTGTGGCCAATCGGGAGTAAAGGCTGCTTGGGCGGTTGCAGGTCCAAACAGACAGAAAGCATACCCCTGTTTGAAGTGCACACGGGCAGTTCTGCCCTGGGGTCAACAGGGTAGGTGTTGGTACTCATAAAAGATGAATAAGCCTGGGGCAGATCGAACTGCCTGGCATGAGTTGAACCCTGAAGTTGCTCTGGATGATTTGTTTGTAGGAATTGTGAAGAGATTTAGGGAGCATTACCCTGGTGTGGGCCCTCCAGCAATTGAACTGCCTTGACGTGGGCCTCTCTAGACCCTGCAAGGCAGCAGAGGCTCCCCTCTCAGGCACTGGTTTGTCTCCTATTCCCCTCAGAGTTAATTCCCATCTGCTTCTATGTGGGCTTTCTTATTATAGAACTGGAAATCATTTTCTCTTTCTTGTAGCTGGTAGACAAATCTGGTTTTCTTTTTCTGTTCTTTTGATGTTGCTGTTTTTTCATTTTTAAAAAATGAAACAAAAAATTGTCTCCCATCTTCCTGTATTTACTATATTTATACTTTAATTTATGTTTTCTTTTGGGAAGTACTAAGCATTGAACACAGGGCCTTTGCACTGAGCTACATCCTCAGGTCCTTTTTTTTTTTTTTATTTCAAGACAGGGTCTCAGTAAATTCCCGAGTTGCCTAGGCTGAGCTCAAACTTGTGATCCTGCTGCCTTAACCTCCCAGAGTGCCTGGAGGGCACATGTATCCCACCACACCCAGTTTATACGTGTAATTTCTGATGACAATGAGTTGTGTCTATCATTTCCCCTAGTGCTAAATACTGTTGTCTGGTGAATGGCTGAAGAGACTGTACAAGTAAAGACTGGTGAGATAGCACAGGCCTACCTATGTTTTCCCTTTGAAGTATTTTAAGTAATTATCTTTGTTACTTGCCTTCCCTCTGTCTTCCCCACCTAGTTCTTACTCATGTCTGTACCCCACCCTCTCCCAGTATTGGAGCGTGAACCCAAGGCCTTCACACTGAGCTACGTATCTAGCCCTCTTTTTGTCTGAGACTGGGTCTCTCTAAAGCTGCTTAGGCTAGGCTCGAACTTGCCATTCTCCTGCCCCAGCCTCCCAGAGTGCTGGGGGCATAGGCATGTACCATCACACAAGGACCGTGCCCTCTTTTGTTAGTTCCTTCCTTGCTGGCAGTTGCACACCCATATTCCCCACTGGTCTGGGTCTTCCTCTGGTGTGTGGTTGATGGGCTGCTCCCCAACACACTTTGCTGAAGTGAAATTGTCTGGCTCACCGTCTCCCAGATGCTGAGCAAACAGAACGCCTTAGTTGAGGAGCCTGGTTGTTGCAGGGCTTCCTTGGAAACACTGAGCCGAGTGTTTGGGCAGAAGAATCCAGGACTTCGCCCTCTGCATCATCTTTCCTTTAGGTCCGCTGCTTCCAGGAGAACACTTCTTCTGGGAGGCACAGTATCACTAAAGAAAAGTAAGAGGTAGAGCAGCTTTGAAGCAGAGTCCTTCATTTCTGCCCGGCAGTGCATGGGGCCTCTCATGTGCGTGGCCTCTCTGTCGGCACAGGTGACCAGACGACGTTCCGGCTGCAGGTCCGCCAAGTGGAGGACTATCCCGTGGACCTGTACTACTTGATGGACCTCTCCCTGTCCATGAAGGATGACTTGGTAAATATCCGGAGCCTGGGCACCACGCTCGCTGAAGAAATGAGGAGGCTCACTAGCAACTTCCGGTTGGGTTTCGGGTCCTTTGTTGACAAGGACATTTCTCCTTTCTCCTACACTGCACCGAGGTACCAGACCAATCCATGCACTGGGTAAGTGGCGGGCTGTCTTTCCGTTGGTACCTTGGGGTAGGAGGGTGGCGCGGTGGGAAAACAGCCCGAAGGAGAGCGTGAAGGGGTGACCAGGCTTACGTGTTTAATCTTACCGGTGATGGCCAAGTGTGTCCCTGCCCTACATGTGGAGGAAGTGAACTGTCACAGGCTGCATGAAGATGTAATAATCATAGTTCACTTATCTTCCTGCCCACCTCACACAGCATTGTTTTCTCACGTTAGTAGAACTTGAAAAATATCCTTGAAGAGTCATGGACCCATGGGGTTAGGGAAGGGACCAGGCAGGACAACTTGTGCTTTCTTCTTGCTTGGAGTGACTAAGATGCTTGAAGATAAGTTCAGTTTATCCCTATTGTTTATATAAGCAACTATAATTTACCTTGATGAAACTACAGTGTTTGAAGGTGTGGGTTTTTATCAACATTAAGTCAAGTACCTGAATTAGAAAGTACCTGACACTTTTATTAGAGAGTAGGAGCTCTTCAATGCTGCAGCAAAACAAACCCTCAAGTGGATAATGGTCCAAACTTGCTGGAGTTAATTTCTTAGTTACCGATGGGGTCTCCTGCCTAGTGGCCCCTCTTCTCCAAGTGGTGACCCAGGAGCCCAGGTCCCTTCCATTTCCAGGCTTCACTGTCTCCCGCTCGTGGCTTCGAGGTCACCCTGCCTGGAGCACTGGGAATCCCGGGACGTAGTGGGCCTGGTCTGCCATTCTGTATGAAACTGAACTCTGGCAAGAGGCCGGGCACTTGCTCAGCTCCGTGCCCAGGAAGAAGAGGAAATGGGCCCGGTGAGCAGGTCTCTGCCATGAGCGTCTGTGTGTTCAGGGGGCACACCCTCTGCTGCCCTCTGCACAGCCCCTGGTGGGTTGCTTGCTTTCTTCTCTAGTCTTTCAAGTGTCCCTTGAAATGGCAGGATTATGCAGTGTAATTGCAATAAGTGGGGCTCCTACCGTCTCCTTGCCTCATTTCCACGTTCACTTTTAGATATAAGACCCTCCAGTGTAGCCACTAGATAAAGAACAACTGAGATTTAAGATTATATTAACTGTCAGGCATCACGCTGACCACTTTGTGTGGATTATTTCTCAAGTATCACAACAGCCTCTTGAGGACTTTAAAGAAGACATAATAAGCCAGACTATGAGGAGGAGGAAACTGAGGCATGGAGAGAAGAAATAACTTATGTGTGATTACACAAATGCATCCAGACAGACTGCTTTTAGAGCCTGCATTCTCGTTAATACACTGCCTGTGTTCCCCTCCACATCATACTCCACCCCAGATACTTCCCCCGAAGTGGAGTATCCATACCCACCCCTCCGGGGCCTTTCCTGTCTCGGTGACTCAGACTTCCAGCCTCCTTCATCTTGTGGCACCACATCCAATCCTAGGCCTCCTGCTGCCAAGGGGAAGGGAGCTGTTTCTAAGGCTCTGGGTCTGCCTCTCCCTGAAGCTCATCTTTGGCAGCCTCAGTGCTTCCCGGGTTTGGTGGTTGGGTGAGGCAGTGATGTGCTGTTGGCCTGTGTCATTCTCAGTCTTCTTGGTCCCTTTGCCCACTCTCAGGGAGGTTGTCTTAGATCTGCCCAGGGCTGGAGAGCTGTCACAACCACAAGAGATCAGCAAGATGAGAAAGTGCTATTACAAGTGGGATTCTTAAGTTCTGTAAGTCTCAAGAGCTACTAGCATCATCATTTGCTGGGTTTAGCTTCTTCCGAACACAGGGAGGCGTTGGCATTCCTATTACTTGGTCCCATCTCCTAAGGCCAAATGTGTGTCCTCTCATTGGCGATTGCATTGTAGCCAAAGCTGCTGCTTTGTTTATCTGGCACAGTGATGCCACCCGCTTCTTTCCGCTGTGCTCTGATTGGGCCCAGTCTGCATACACAGGGTGTGTCTCACCCGCAGAGATGCTAGACCAGGAGCTGGCAGCAGATGAAGGACTGGCCAGGGACGCTCAGCATGTAAATATCCACAGCTCTCCCACATTGCTTATTCAGAACTTGTTGAGATGCAGTTGCACGCCGCCAGTACTGTACAAGGGACACAGCAAAACTGCCTGAGACAGGAAATCTCAGGAAGAATGGGAGTCTTGAGAGAAACCTGAAGTCTGAGTTCTAGAAATCTCTCTTCTCTAAGCTGGTCAGTATAGTAGGGAGGCCTGTGGGGCTCAGTGAGCAGATCGAATGTCCTCTTCTCACTTCCAGCAGGACAGCACCCATGAAGCTTTAGTCCCCACAGAACGGTACAAGCCCAGCGTGCAATCCGGTGGTTCCAGTGCCTGATCCAGTCTGTACATGGGCTTTGGTTGCCCTTCTGTTTTAATGGCACTGTGAATTAGCTACCAACATGCGGGGTGGGGGGGATTTAATCAAGCATAGGTAAGGGCTGGGGACTTAGCTCAGTGGTTCTGCCACCTGTCTCACAAGCACAAGGACCTGAGTCGATTTCTGGTACCAAAAAAAAAGAATAGCTAGGATAGGGCCCGTGAATTTAGCTCAGTGGTTCTGCCTGTCTTGCAAATGCAAGGTCCTGGATCCAATCCCCAGTACCAAGAAAGGAAGAAAGGAAGGGAGGAAGGCAGGCAGGCTAGCTAGAATATCTAGGTTTTCTTAAAAACCTGGAAGTCTGGGAAAGCTGGGCTTGTACTGCAGTCCCCACCACTCCCTCTTGTCCTGCTCCTGGCCCATTTCGTGTGGTAGATCTTTGCTTGGAATCCTTGTCTGACTATTCTTTTCCTCGCGCTAATGTGGAAAGGAAAACCAAGAGTCCTTCCCAAGCTCTGGTGGTGCTTTCAGTTCGATGTTTCTCTCCTGTGGTTGTGGAGGCAGCAGTGTGAGCCGTTAGGAAGTTGGGGAAATTAGACAGTCAGGAAATGATTTAACCATCTGTGCAGGACACCTGAGAGGAAGGACCAGCCATTATGCTCTGGGCTTTTTGAGGTTTATTCCTCCTGCCTCTGCTCCAGATGTTCCTGCCAAGGGATCAAAACCTGGCTTCCTCATCCCTTTGGAATTGCCACATCTAAGCAGTACAATGTACCAGGGCTGCCGTGGAAGAAAGCAGGTGGAGAGTGACTTCAGCATCAGTTTAGAGCAATGTTTAAGTGCTGTCCTGACTGATTGAAATAGTTGCTCTGCGAAAAATCACCTGATACACCTGGGTGAAAAATTTGGTTTTTCTAATTGTGACTACTTTTTCTTTTTTTTTTTGGTACCAGGGATTGAACTCCGGTCCTTGCGCTTGCAAGGCAGGCCACTGAACCACTGAACTAAATCCCTGGACCTACTTTTTCTTTGATAGACGTTGTGAGCTGTGGTTTAAATACAGACCTTGGAAAAATATGTGCAAATGAGCTAATGGTACACTTCCTCCTTCGTTATTTCCATTTCTCCTGCCCACTTTGTAGTTCCCCCAAGAAGTCACAGAACTCCTTTGTACGGCACGTGTCTTCCACTGTCTTCTAGCTTCTGTGTGGCTGGGAGGAGGTCTGCTGTTTGTCTAATCCACTTATTTCTGGTGGCTTTAAATATGTTCTGTAAAGTTATGCACTCTACTGTGGCCATGTTGAATTTCCTTTTTGCAGTGCTATTTACTTTGCTTGTTTCGTCAGAGAAATTCTAACTCCCTCGCTCTGCCTGTTTCCTTTCTTCTAGTCACTGCATTTCACGTGCACACTGCGAGATGTCAGCTGGAGCTTCTCGTTCTGAATTTTCTTGTTTCTTAATTTCTTTCTCATACTTCTTACTAATTTTATTTTTCTCTCTTAGCTACATAAGAGAAAATATCCTCCAGTTTACCTCTTTGTTCTTCAGTTTTAGTTTAGTGCATACACTAAAATTTCATTTTTGAATAGCACTGGCAGTATTTTTTATTTCTGTAATTTTTGTTTGGTTCTTTTTGAGATTCTTCTGTACTTTATACTTTTTTTAGAGCCTTCTAATTTTTGTTTTGTTTTGTTTTTCTAATAATATCCTGTCTGGCATTTGACTTCTGATCCTTCGTCTCTTTGAATGTCTTGCATATCCCTGTTTTGAAGTTTCAGGACATTGTGTCGTCTGTTTCTTGATCTTTTTTTTTGGTACTGGGGATTGAACACGGGTCCTTATGCTTGCGAGGCAGGCAGCAGAACCACTGAGCTAAATCCCCGGCCCTCTGTTTCTTTAATTGTGGCACCTTTGGCACGTTAGATCTGCTAACATTTCTTTGTGGTGGTTTGTTTCTCATGGAGTTTGTAACTTTTCATTAGCCCGTCTTCCTCAGAGGCTGTTTTCTATCTGAGGGCCACATGCCCTGGGCCTGTTGGTTTTCTGCAGAGCAGTTTTCAGTCTGCTGCTGCCAGGAACTCTCAGTACTCTCTGTGGGACTGATTTCCTTCTTAATCTCTCAGCTGGGGGTTACTTCACTGTAGCATGAGTCCTGATTTGCTCAGGCCTGAAGCCTTAATTTCTTAGGAGTGATTCTTTTCACAGGGATGGATGGTGAGCTTCCTTGACTCTTTCCCAGGCCAGAGGAAAGGGG